AACAGTTCTAACACAGAAAATGCAATAATAACGAAAAACACATAAAGCCATTGGGGGATGACCATAGTAGCTATTTCATTACATAGCTCCATTTTATACACATTTAAAGTTAGGTACCCCAGCTTTAATCTTGCCTTTTGAGAGATTTGAACCAGCCTCAGTGCAGTGTAAGTAAAACTAGAACTTCTCCATCTCACTTTGGTGTGGAGCAGACTTTTTTCACATGTGTCATCGTCGTTCGCATGAGTCACTGTAGAAAAGAGAGTTACAGGAAGAACCTCCTCTAAACAGCTGTCTCCAGAGCACAAAGACATATCTATTCTGCTTCATCTACAGTCACTGTCAAAACCTGCCAGGCATGAAGGCCAAGGCAGCTTCAGGAGAATATAAAAGTTTGGGACAGGTGTGGAGCAAGCTGAAACAGTTAAATCAACAACATCTGCTTAAAACTAAATTATCTAATGTTTAAAAGCATTACATTGCACACTAGCTTAAGACTACATATAAGATCAATATTATTATCATTTTTATTGTTGCTGATTTACTAAATTCAATCCACTTTCCGCTGAACCTGCTCTGCTCATGCAAACTCAACTGTGGCCATTAGCATACCGGCTTAAAAGTGGTCAATATATGCACCGACGGAGAGTAGAGGCAGTAGTATTGTAATTCTGTGTCATCGTGCATTTATTATACAAGTTTCTTTAGTTTTAAACAAGGTAACTGCCACTTCTACATCACTCTTCTTCCCAAACCTAGCAAGTTGAATAAACAGGTTAGCATAGCTGTAGCGTAACATTATCTCGGTATGTAAGCATTTATAGCGCCTTTCACAGACCTTTATAATTGTGGGCATTTGTCTCTCACTCCACACAGAGATGGGAGCGAGGTTACCATACAGGGGTTGCACGCCAGACCTATGGTACATGTTTTTAGTGGTAGGGGAAACCGGAGCACCCAGAGGAAACCTACGCAGACACAGGGAGAAAACAGAGCTCTTCTGACCAGAATTCAAAGCCAGGAACTTCTTGCTGAGCTGTGAAAGTGCTATCCTCTCAACCCACATGCCGCCTTTATCCATTCAAGTTACTTCATTCTGTTCATATTGATTTGGTTTTATTTGGATGAAATGGAGCATAAACTCTGACACAGTGTCAAAAACAAAGGAAAACTTTCCGAAACTGTTCAGTTGAGGTCAAAAGCAAGCGACAAAGCGAGAGGAGTGAGCTCTGTAGGGTCTTGTCCAGTTGCTCTCCTGCTTCAAGTCGCCTCAGATTGGCGTAGATTTTGTTATTGTTGTTTTCAAATTACTGTTAAATGATTACAGATATTTTATTTGGTAAATTATTGATATTTTTGGGCCAATAGCTCTCTAACTAAAGTTTGGGCACCCCTCTTTGGCCGTGCACCAAATACATCTGTGTACTACATGTCAGTGTCTTATGAACCAACTCGGAACTCTGAGCAGTACAGGGACTGGCCTCCTGCTGGGACTCTGAGGAGCACAGGGACTGGCCTCCTGCTGGGACTTTGAGGAGCACAGGGACTGGCCTCCTGCTGGGACTCTGAGGAGTACAGGGACTGGCCTCCTGCTGGGACTCTGAGGAGCACAGGGACTGGCCTCCTGCTGGGACTTTGAGGAGCACAGGGACTGGCCTCCTGCTGGGACTCTGAGGAGCACAGGGACTGGCCTCCTGCTGGTGCCCAGAGTCAGGTCTAAACATGGGGAGGCAGCATTTCAGATTTATGCATCTATAATCTGGAACAGTCTTCCTGAAAATGTGAGACAAGCTTCTACTCGGAATATGTTCAAATCTAGGTTCTGAATCCTGCTGTTTAGCTTTGCTTACAACTGAAGGATTGTGTCTTCACTATTTTAATGAATTCTGATTATTGATCATTTGAATGATTGTTTTGTTCAGGACGTTGAGTTACCTTGTGTATGAACTGTGTTATACAAATACAATTGCATCATACTCACGGTATAATATTCTCTGTGCTAAAACTATAGTAACTATATTTGCTATATTTTATGTTTCTAACTCACTGTGCCTCGAGTCCATTCAAACAAATTAGCCGCTCATAAAACCGTTAGCCGGTCGTAACGTGGTTTGTCCTTTCGTCGACTTAACTAAAATCTTTATCGTGGTGAATAAAACCGGCTCTTAACGTCCAAACGCACAATAAACCAGAAGTGTGCCGCCAATTGTTGCTAGCGTTAATTAATGCGGCTGTAATACCGTTAGCATTAGCCGTAAAGCCGCTCGTTACGTCGTACACTGGTTCGTGGGGAATAAGAGAATAGGTCATAAAATTAAAGGGGATGTGGTAAATTACATGGGGCTGAACGAAAGGTGGGGGTCCGAGACAGTGACATGTTGTTGGTCCCTCGTAAACCCCTTGTCATAGCCAGGGGGCCCCTCTGTCCCCAGAGACTGTTCTGTCGTTAGGAGGAAATGTGCCATTTGTTTAAGACTTTCACAACAGGGGGAGGAGAGATTGACTTGTTTTCTGCTGCAAACTTTTGTCATTTTTTAAGCCAGCAGGCTCTTTGTCAGCAGTGTTTTCTACCAATTAAACTAGAACTAAAACAAAACCATTTTTTTTTTTTACAGCCATTCATGCATGTTCTGGACACCTAGTCGTCTTGGGGGACTTTCTTTTTGATTCACCAACAACTGATAAAAGAATCAACCAGTTCATAGGGACCGGGATGACCACTGTCCATAAACATTAATACATGTCCTTAAACCACAATTTACCAGACCGTTTTGAAAAAGGGCTGGATGAAGCTAAATATTTCCTCTCTCACCCATTCAACAATATCATAAAATAGACTCACACACAAACACACAGACACACACACACGAACACTCTCTGACTCTACATTATCCACAAGATGAGAAATCTAAACATCTGCCTATACTTCCAACGGAGAAGGACTAGTTCATTCCCTTTAAAATGGCTTCAGGAACTTCCACCTCCCGTGCCTCTCTCTCCACCCCCTCCAAAAAGTTTGTCGTAAATAATAATTAAAAACTCTTCTCCAAAAAGACAAACAAACAGCGCGCTCTCCGTTTTTTCGTTTGGCTCGCCGCCTTTTCAACGAGCGACCACATGGGACCAATTACCAGGACAGCGCTCCGATTCATTTCTGCCGCAGCTAAAGTCTATGCACCGTCATCTTCTCATTACAGCAGCAGCAAACAAAAAGGACTTTTTAAAATTGGAATAATGTTTGGTCTTTCAAGTGGATGAGGGCTACAATTTAAGACCCAGCCGTAGGTTTAACGAGAAATACTATGGAGGTTTATAGCAGCAACAGATCACAGGGGATGACCATAAAAGACTCACTATAAACACGAACAATTAGGACAAAAAGTAATGAACATTTTTTTCCAAGTGCTGTAAGCTACTATAAAGCTGTGCTAATATACTGTAAATGCATGTTGAACTTAAAGCTGAGATATCTAACTTTGAATGGAACCACTGTAATAAATCCTGTCTCTCAAAAAAAGCCTTAGTTTTTAAAAGCACCAATGTACTTCTGGCCCCTGTCACGTCTTTATATCAGCTTTTTCAGGCAGAAAAGTAGAAAAAAAAGACAGCCTCAATCATCTCTCAACTATACATAAGAGAACTTCACCTTGGAGAGACCCATGAGGAAAATGCCGTTAGACTTATTAGATTTAAGCATGTTTATTGATTGAGCATGTTTGGCGCCCTAGGCCCGGGAGGGATGCTGTTGAGCACGGCGCTTGCTCGCGTGCATAATCCCCCCCGGCGCCTAGGCACTGGTGGCGGCAGAGGCAGTAGGCAAGACACGCTTTGGTGAGAAAAGGAGGAGGTGGGGCGGCGGAGGCTTGCAGACTTCAGAAGGCCGGGAAGTGGGAGTCTCCGGCTTTTAACTTGCTGTCCTGGTGGTTATTGGTTGGCTGGATGTGGGCGTTGCTGGTCTGATGAGCCGAGGAAGAGCAGCCTGTAGATCTGGGCAAGCAGCAGCCGGGTCTACCACAGTGAACTTTCGCGAAAGCTCCATATGTTTTCTAAAACGATGAAGACAGCATCTTTAAACTTCTCACTGGATGTTCCCAAACAGATTAAGAAAAAGTTAACTCATGAATAGAAAAATATACAAAATGAATTATGCCTATGCTTGAGGGGCGACAGTGGATGAGTTGGTCGTGCCTTGGCCTTTGAGCCTCGTGGTTCAATCCCTCACACGATATTCTCCACCAACTCCCACTGATGTCTGCTGTTGTTGTGTCCTTGGGCAAGACACTTAACCCACTTTGCCTGAAGCCCCTGCTGAAAGATCAAGGCTGTGTCGTCACTGACAGAGCAGCCGTCCTCCTGTGGACTCACCACCTGCAGGAGGATCAGTGAGGGGCTGGTGCTCTGTGTACTGGGTGCAGCTCTGACTGCCACCGACCCAGAAATGGATTAAGGGGAAGAAGATGGATAGATGGAACTTGAATTCATAAACAACAATCAGCTCCTTTTCATTCCTAGCCTTGCCGTCTCATTTTTATTTAGCTTATGGCATAAACTGTGATTAAAGTGGAAATCAAAAAACATATTTTAAAAGGTGTTAAACGACATTTGACCAAACCTGCATCTACTCCCTGTCTACTCTGTAAAGATACATTTTAAAGTCTCTCTCGAGTCTGAAGGATTACAAATGATCCCACTGTAAAAAAATAGAAAAAAAATCATGCAAAATGACTGTTCCTGTGAAGCCCAATCCTGTGCAATGCGCTATAATAGATAAATCTCCAGTGTGGAAATACAGTCCCATATTTGACTCCTGGTGTGTTTAATGTGCTATTGTTTAAGAGACGTGTTGGGGGGGGGGCGGGGGGTTGCATTTTCCCAGCTGGTCCTCTATCCTCTTACCTGTAATCAAAACCATAAAACGCTCGTGCCCTAATTGACGGCGCAGCCATTAGCATCTTAGCCTTGGCGGTCGCGTGCTCTAGCTGTAATTGGCGTTTTGACGCTCACCTGAGAACTCGAGCAGATGAACGAGGCCCGCGGTGTGGACAGGTGTGGGAGGGGCCGGCAGAGCGCGCAGAGAGAGTGGCGTGGTGTCCTATTGTCCCCCTGAAGCGCACCGCCTGAGGTTCAAAGTCCCACTTCTGCACCTTGCCTCATGCTAACTTGTGCCGCTGATGCTGCGGGTGCTATGCTCAGCATCATTAAGACCCATTTGCACATCATTTTAGCTGTTTTACACCAGTCGACTTTAGGAAAATAAGCATGTTTGGTAATTAGCAGCTTATAATACTAGCCAGAAATTTGTTTTACAACAATTGACTTATTAGGAGCCATAATGCTGGAAAATGTTGAAAGATTTTACGCTAATGAATTAAACCTTTGATTTCCATTTATACACAAAAATCATGTCATACTTGGGCTTTCTCGATTGACAATGTTCAAATCAAACTCTAGTATTTCCAAATAAGAAAATATGGAACTAATATAATAAATCCATCTGTTTGACTACATTGTTGTTTACTTTAAAACTATTGTGGTATCTCAGTGTCTCTTTGGAACGGAAGAAGTCTTTGGAGGAAAGAGAGTGATAGTGGAGGTAAGAGTGAGAGGAGAGCGCAGAAAAGAGGAGTGGTGGAGGTGTTGGCGTCACGGATTAATTTGTGTATATTTATGAGTTGAATTTTTTTCCTATGTTTGCTGGCTGAGAGAGAAGCCAGGTTTGTTCTCATGTTCCAGGTCGGAACTATTGTAAATGTTTATTGTAAATGCCTGCGTACTTTGTGCATTAGTAAAGAACAAGTGTTGGGTAGATACTTTTGACATTTTTTCCCAATACTGAACTACATGACCTATAATGTATTTGTACAGTATTCTGTTACTTTGGAAAAAAATATTACCTGTTGTCTGAATACTTATCTATACGTTACATGATTTGTTTTTGATTTTTTGTTTTATTCTGTGTTTATTCATGTTGAAATAGATAAAAATGTTATTTTATTGTCTATTTGTAAAACATCGAAGTGGCTTCAACAGCGGTCATTGTACTGTAACAACAACAAAAAATCAATATAATTTAATATTAAGAAAAAATGCAAAACAGTTATTTATTTTGTTTACCGTAAAACATCATGTGAAAAAGAATGTTTTCTGTGATATCCTGTGAAAGTAACTGTATTCTAAATACTAGACTTTAAAGTAGTAACTGTAACGGAATACAGTTACTCAGAAGAGTATTCCTGAATTAGTGAATTTAATTTACTGTATGCTGTTATTCCCCAACACTGTAAAAATTCATGTGATGATAAATGAAGACAGTAGACGGTACAGTACGATCTCAAGCTCACTCAAACAGTAAATTGTCTTGCTTTTCCCTGGACCGCTAAAGAAGTGCTCGCTGCCATATTTGTCGTGAAGAAGTAGCTCGGGATGTTAAGGTTTAGAGAGTCCTTTTATAAAACATGAAAAAGCATTCGCAAAATCTGTTTCAACTGCTCGAATCTAATGGAAGAATCTTATGTATCACCAGAGGAATAATGCTGTAATCTCTGCCGCCTCATCCACTCCATCATCACTTTGTACCCTCAGTCGGCGGTCGTTGCCTATGACTGACCTGGATTGAGTCTGGAGTAGAGCCTCGGTTCCCACGCGGGTTGAGGAGATACCTCCTGGGCGGCCTGGCATCGGTCGCAGCATCTTACGCGGAAAAACATTGTCTGTAATTGTCACATCTGGTTTGTCATGGACGTTAGCTGCTACTGCTAATTGCCAAACGCACCGCACACAGACGAGGTTGGTGTCTTGTTTATACAAGACTAGAAGTCCCTTTTTTCATGCATAAATGAAAAGCAGTGATGTTTTGATGGGAGACTCAAATGGATGCAGAAGGGGAAAACATACTGATAGTTAAAACTGGCACTTTCGCAGACAGAAAAGTGAAAAAGAGCGTCTAATCAACCAGCCAAGCACTCTCTGCCCAAATAGTCAAAACGTACTCACAGGGCTCGTTCCTTCTACATATGCAAAAGATAACATGGTTTAAAGTGTTGATTTAGACAGAAACTTGTACTTTTTACACAATTTCTATTGCATGGCATGAACCCAAAAACAAGGACCGAAAAGAAGGTAAAATTATTTAAGAAGAAAAATCAAGGGTAATAAAACAACACAAAGAAAGAAAAGCAACTCAGGACAACAAGTGAGGAAAGAACAGGGGACAAATACACAGGAGACACATGAATCACAGGGTGTGGGCAAAAAGGAACAGGAAGTTTGATTTTGGAGAGTTTGGGAGTGTTGTTCATAAAAATTCAAAATAATGAAGGTCCACACCGCGATGAACCAATTAAACCAACCAGTAATAAATGTTCTATATGTAAAAAAAGCACACACAGAAACCAAAAGAAAAGGAAAAAAGAGATCAAAGGTTATCTTAGAAATGTTACTAAGCATCTTTTCTCCTTCACAGCCCAAAAACCTGGAATTTGAATTTCAGTGGTGAAATATACTTTGTATGGTTTTTACACTGCTCCATCATCCTCAGATACACCAGAATGTCCCATATTCCCTCTTCTCTCACACTCTTCATTCTTGAAACATTACTCACTCAAACTTTTAAACTCTCAACGCTTCATAGTATCCTCTGCGACCATTGGGTTGAGTCATGCAGAATTTGAAACAAGCAGATTAGTACAGCAGGAGAAAGGAATGAGATAGTTTTTAGTGATACATAGTGACTCACTCCACTCTCCTCATAATTGACTAAACAGTGACATCAAAACACATTTATTTGTGTACAGCCAGAAATCACAACAGCAGTTTACAAATTTGTCCTCTTTGCCTTTGTAAATGTATTTTCTTTGTCCCAACACAAAGAGTCTTGTGAAAGTAAAATGTTAATAATAATAATGCATGGGTTTTATACAGCGCTTTTTAGACACTCAAAGGCACTTCACATTATTCTTTCACTATATACACAACTACTGTAGCCACAGCTGCCCTGGGGCACACTGACAGAAGCGAGGCAACCATTATGTGCCATTGGCCCCTCCTACCACCACCAACCATTCACACTCACCAGACTCATTCTTATGTGGTTGGAGTGTCTTGCAAATGGACACAATGACAGTTTGATACTTTACAGCTGCAGCCGCCCCACTGTGGCACCTGGTGTTTCCAGAGGTCTCCCTTCAGAATACTAACCAAGCCCTGCCACATGGACATGTTGTGAACAAATCAGACCAACAATTTGGGTAAGAAAGAGCCCTGTGAGTCACTGTTTGACTCTATGGGCTGAGTGTGGGTGCTCCTCTTTACTTCAATTATCTGTCTGAAAAAGTTGGTCTAAAGATGTAACAGTTATAACACATAAACGCCAAAATCACCATTTAGAACACAATTAAAATCCCACAAGTAATTTAAAGCATTAACACATTAAAATCACACTAAGAGCAATGCATTCAAACAAAGTAAAGATAAATCCTTCAGTTGTATGCACAGACAAAAAACAAAAAACACATGCATAAGAAAACTAGTAAATAGAAGCAAACTGTTTTCAGAGCGAGGATCTAGTTAGAAGAAGAAGAAGGTCCTTTATTCGTCCCACAATGGGGAAATTTCAGTTTGATGCAGACACATACACATCAAGGCAAGCAGATTTTGTCATATGAAAACAACACTTTTAAAAACAACTACCCTTTTTCTGATTCCAACACTAACTCTAACAGATGACCACTCACTTTTTATTGGAGTCTGCCTGTCTGACTCTGTTTTTTCTTGTATCACTCATAGATTTGGTCGTGGAGAAGGGACGCAGGTCTGTGGCACCAGATTTGGGATCAATCGTGCCAGACCGGACGACCCTGGTCTGTCTGTGTCTTTACAAATGTCGTGAGCAGGAGCCAGTGGACGGCAGCAGCAGCAGATAGGGTTGCATCCAATACAGTTGCGCCGTAGTCCAAGTCCATGACAAGACGGAGTCAATATATCTGATTGTGCTGGAGTTATGAACAATAGGAGCGATGGAAGAGGAGGGACAAAGGAGTCGGCCTGTCTATGCACAACACACATGCAATAGAATGAAGTTTAATGATGAATATGGCGGCATACAGACTGGGACTCTCGCTTGACTTAACCCTCGAGTTTTTGAGCAAGGATGTAATTGTGATATGTCTGATCAACCTTGCAATGTGATGTTTCATAAATGTATGTTGTAGTTCAAGAGAGTTTCATTGAAAAAGCAACATATGAAGCCATTTCCTCATACACAGTATTTAAAACATATTACAGTTTATGTCTAGAATTAGGTAAGAGAAGAGACCAGAGAGAGGCCAGAAAGAGATCAGATAGATACCAGAGAGAGACCAGAGAGAGGCCAGAGAGATAGATACCAGAGAGAGAGACCAGAGAGAGGCCAGAGAGAGAGACCAGAGAGAGGCCAGAGAGGCCACAGAGAGAGACCAGAGAGAGACCAGAGAGAGACCAGAGAGAGGCCAGAGAGAGACCAGAGAGAGGCCAGAGAGAGACCAGAGAGAGATCAGAAAGAGACCATAGAGAGACCAGAGAGAGATCAGAGAGAGACCAGAGAGAGGCCAGAGAGAGAGACCAGAGAGACCAGAGAGAGCCCAGAGAGAGACCAGAGAGAGATCAGAAAGAGACCAGAGAGAGACCAGAGAGAGATCAGGGACCAGAGAGAGGCCAGAGAGAGAGACCAGATAGAGACCAGAGAGAGACCAGAGAGAGACCAGAGAGAGACCAGAGAGAGATCAGACAGGGACCAGAGAGAGGCCAGAGAGAGAGACCAGAGAGAGATTAGATAGAGACCAGAGAGAGACCAGAGAGAGACCAGAGAGAGACCAGAGAGAGATCCAAAAGAGACTAGAGAGAGGCCAGAGAGAGATCAGATAGATACCAGAGAGAGACCAGAGAGAGGCCAGAGAGAGACCAGAGAGAGATCAGAAAGAGACCAGAGAGAGGCCAGAGAGAGAGACCAGAGAGAGACCAGACAGGGACCAGAGAGAGGCCAGAGAGAGACCAGAGAGAGATTAGATAGATACCAGAGAGAGACCAGAGAGAGACCAGAGAGAGATCAGATAGATACCAGAGAGACCAGAGAGAGGCCAGAGAGAGAGACCAGAGAGAGAGACCAGAGAGAGACCAGAGAGGCCAGAGAGAGAGACCAGAGAGAGACCAGAGAGAGGCCAGAGAGAGATCAGATAGAGATCAGAGAGAGGCCAGAGAAATCTCTAATCAGAGAGAGAGACCAGCGCAAGATACTAGAGACTAGAGAGGAACAAGAGAGATCAAAGAGATCTGGTCTCTCTTGAGCCCAGGGAGTATCAAGAGAGAGAACAGAGGGGGAGAGACCAAATACTATAGAGAGAGAGCAGAGAGAGAGACCAGAGACAAGAGAGAGACATGAAAGAGAGTCTGAAGAGAGACCAGAGAGAGAGATCAGAAACATTTTGATTTGATTTATCCAAAGCTATACTTTCCGAAACTCCACAAACAACAACATTGACATTTCTCCAACAACCACTATACTTATCCGAGCGTTTGGTCGTTAACTTGGGGCCGTATAACCGTCATGGCCGACACAAAGGAGCTGGATAAGAGAAGGTTTCAGTTTGAGTCAGTGGTGTGCTTCCTGTGTCACCAACAGCTCCATCAGCGACCTTTTGTTTTCAAGTAAGTAATCTTTATTTATACACCGCCTTTCACAGACCAGAGTCACAAAGCGGTTTACAATTGTTATTTTTGGGCATTTGTCCTCTCACTCCACACAGAGATGGGAGCGTTTCAGCCACCTGCAAACTGCAATTTGATCAAGAATCCAACCGACAACCTCCCAGGAGTGAGACAACAAAAGCCTCTGTACTTTGTGTCCTACAGGGGGAGTATCTTCAGCAATTTTTTGGTTCCTAGGTAAATATTATAATGAGTTTTCCAACTGATTTTCTATTCAATTTTAATTATTTTCCATCCATTTTTACATGTTTTTCCATTTGTAATATGTTCCTACTGTGGCAAGACCAGGTCTGGTGGTCTATGCTGAGGGCATTGTTACTCGCCGCCTTGCGGCGCTGAGCTGGTGGCCTATTTAAGCGCTCCCATCCCATGTCACTCCCTGTTTGCCCGCACTTCCCACTGGGCCGTGTGACTCTGCTCCTCTCCAGTCCTAGGTAAAGTCCCAAATGCGTGGCTCCAAATTGCATACATCTCCCCATTTCTTACAATATTATCCTTTTAGCGCTGCTGTATGACTGCAGCCTCACACCGCCCGTTTGCACGGCTTGATTTTGTGTGTCGCGCCCGGGGCATGCTGCCTCATCTGCTGTGACTGGTAATACTCCTCTCCCCATTCATTCATTCACAAATCTAACTACTGCTCTCCTAGTCCCCGATGGTGATTGGCCTTGTCTGTGCTGGGCATTGTTGGGCATCACTGTGTCCGTTCAATTGGGGCAACAGTTATAATTTTATTTATTTATTAAGACAGCCTTTAAATCCCGCTGTCTCCTCATAGTGCTGCTGCAGGATTGGCAGCTGGTGTCCGCGGCTTGGGCCAGCCCGTGCCCTGCCCCGCCCCCCAGCGGCGGTCTGCAGCGTTGGGACACGTCTCCTCTGCTGCTTTGCGCCCCCCCCCCCCCCCCCCCCCCCCCCTACTTAAAGCAGGGGTATCTAATTTGTTTGTCTCGTACATGGCACATACAGTTTAGTTTGTCCCAACAGAAAGAGTTTGGTAAAGTAAAATCTAAATCAATCAGAGATCAGAGTTGATCGGCTGAATGAGCGTGGTCCTCTCTTTTTCACTTCTCTGAAAAAGTAGATCTAAAGATGTGACAGAGGCCAATAATACATACATTCGGGAAAGTGGGATCGGCCTGGCTCGGCAGCTGGTGGTTGGACATTGGCTGGAATTGGTGGTAATTTATCCTTGTTGTCCTCAGCACTCGCATCTTCATCCGTCGTACTGTGGAGCCTGCTGACAGTCTGACCAAGCAGAGGCGTCATCCCACTAAGTACAACAGCAAAATCTTGACCAGTTTGTTTCGCTGCAGTCTCAAGTTGGTTCAAATACATCAGAGTTTGCATCTTTCCCACTTTATCAGCGAGAAGGAGAGACAAGTCAAGTAGCTTATAACTAACTTCATCGTCCACGCAATCGTATGTATAAGGCAACATTTTGCGCAGAGCAACGAGCGGTTGACCTGAACTGTATTCAACCACAATAGAAGATTCAGATAGAAGACAGAGATTCAGAGTCATCACTGCACTCACACTTTCTGATAGACCCAAATCGCTTCAGAAATTCTTCAACTTCTTCATCGGTGGCTGTTTTAGTCGCGTCTTGAACTACGATTGAGTTTGCTATTTTGATGCCAAGCTTCAAATATGTTTCCATATCTTTCAAATAAACCTTCAAAACAATGTTTGTCTCAAGTTACTCCACTCCTGGCTAGCTCGCCAAGAATGATGTATTATCTTAGTACCAGAGTGTTTTGAGAGCGAGGAACTAGCGGCGTTAGATGAATTTTAGTACATAGTTCTATTGAAAGTTAGGTACCTCAGCTTTAAGTCCCCTGAGACAAGTCTGGGAGGAGTCTAAAAAGCATCAGCTGGCAGGGGCTCTACTACGAGCTCCAATAACTTTGCCTTTCAATCTCTGTCGCTCCATCTGACAATAACAACCAAAGAAATAATTATTTATCAAGGAAAAATCTTTAAATTACCCAAACCTGCTTTGTGACCCATCACTCTGCTCCAGTTCAGTGCAATAATCTCACTCCTCTCAAACTCTGGGCTTTGGCGTCACAATAACAGTGTTCTCACTGTCGTCCCCGGAGACAGCCTGGCCCTTTTAAACCCTCTCTCCTCCAGCGCTCTGATAGTCACCAGTCGATATGGCCATTAGTAAATACAGATACATAATTTATTAAATGTCCTTAGATACATATTTCAGCATCGAGTTACCGATAAAACCCACGAGTTAACGCACGCCAGAGGATGAGGGAAGATGGGCATTCAGCAAATTGTAAAAATGTGTTGGTTTTATAGGGAGAAATGTGAGCGAGAAAGGATAGATGGCTGCACATGAAACTACCATCTACTCTTGTCTAGTTTTTGTGCCAATCTTAAAACGATAGAAATAATGAGTTACATCTAACTTTAATATAAAATCACTTTTATTCAAGTAACAAGCAGCTGTTGTATTGCCTATAATTGTATGTTTCGCCCTGTAGCTACATCCCCAATAAGCAAATTATGTGTGTAATAATAATGACAATGAGGAGCCTGTCCAGAACGATGAATAAATGCCGGGAAATTGAGTACGACTTTTCCCTTTGTTTTCCATCCCCGCCTTCGAAGTGGAATTACCGAAACACTTTGCAGGCATGACAAAATCGGCGATGAAGACTATTCCTCTCACACCCACTTTAGTCAGATCAAGAGTCCTATCTAACATTCAAAAACAACCCCAGGGTATAAGGTCAGATGAGATAAGATATTCCTTTATTCGTCCCATAGAGTGGAAATTAATTGTTAAACACATTATAGCAGAGAAAAAAAGAAGCAAATAAGAGCACTCAGATTGCACACATGAAACCGGGCCTATTATTTAAGATAATAAATAATAACATTAAAATAATAAGTAAGTAAAATGATGGTAAAATAGACAAATTAAAACTCTGGAGCTATAGATTGCACTTGGTTCAGAAGTATTTACAGATAACGTATTTTAGCAGCAGAGAATATGACCAGAATAACAATGGTTACAATATAAGCAGGTAAAGTGACAGAAATATCAGATGTTATTGACGTGGAACAATGTTGTAAAAGAGAAAAAAGGGCAATTTTTCTTTTCTTTAAACCGGCCTTACATGAGATTTTGAAATGACATCTGATAATGTGGTTTCACTGTAATTGTAGTCAGAGCAAACCCCTAATACACTTCCTATAGTGTTTAACCAACTGTGTATCCCCTTATGGCTTAACTAAAAACAGCATGTATGAACAAATGTGATTATTGACCTGAATTAACTTTAGCTCAGATCTCACATTATGGGCTGTCCTGCCTCGCCTCATCCTCTGGTCCATACTAATCCTCATATTAATTCATATCTGCTTCTGCTTTAGCTGCCGATCGATGGAGCAATCAGCTTCCGTCAGTGTGAAATGAGTTGTCCCGTCCTGTTTTTTTTGCATATTCAACCTCCTCCGACATCATCAAAAGTCCATCTATAACCTCTGCGCGCCTCTGCAAGCGTTTAATTAGTTTGAGCAAAACATACCGAGTCCCCTCACAAAAAGAATAAAAAGCTGAATCAGGAAAACGCAGAGAAAAAATTCAAAAGTCCGATACTAGAAAGTGATGAAGGGGCAACTTGAGAGTCAAAGGAAAAGTAAATGCAAAGTAGTCGAGTACAAAAGTCGGTTTATTCAATAGAAAAGGCAAGACATATTTATTTGTTTAGCACAGTTCATGCTAAAGGCAACTCAAAGTGTTAAACAAAACAAGATCACACAAGGCAGTTAAACGACATGAATATTAAAAAGAGGGAAAATGCAACACTTCAGCTGTATACACAGTTTTTAACCTGGTGTGTCTCTCTCCAGAATCACTCTTTGGTCTCTCCCTCTGGTCTCAGTCTGGTCTCTCTCTGATCTCTCTTTCTCTGGTATTTATCTCTGCCCTCTGATCTCTCTCTGTCTCTCTAGTCTCTCTCTCAAGGACATCTAGTCTGTCTCTCTGGTCTCTCTTTCTGGTCTCTCTCTTGTCTCTCTTTAGTCTCTCTCTAATATCTCTCAGGTGTCTCTCTCTGGACTCACTCTCTGGTCCCTCTCTCTCTGGGCTCTCTCTCTCTCAGGCCTCTCTCTGATCTCTATCTCTCTCTGGTCCCTCTCTGATCTCTCTTTCTCTGGTTTCTCTTTCTGGCCTCTGATCTCTCTCTCTGTCTCTCTGGTCTCTCCCTCAGGTATGCCTAGTCTGTACCTCTGGTCTCTCTCTTGTCTCTCTCTGGTCTCTCTCTAGTCTCTCTCCACAGGTGTCTCTCTAGACTCACTCTCTGGTCTCTCTCTGATCTCTCTCTCTCTAGGCTCTCTCTCTCAGGCCTCTGTCTGATCTCTCTCTCTCTCTCTGGTCTTTCTCTGATCTCTCTCTCTAGGCTCTCTCTCAGGCCTCTGTCTGATCTCTCTCTCTCTCTGGTCTCTCTCTGATCTCTCTTTCTCTGGTGTCTCTCTCTGGCCTCTGATCTCTCTCTCTGTCTCTCTGGTCTGTCTCTCAGGTATATCTAGTCTGTCTCTCTGGTCTCTCTCTTTTGTCTCTCTCTAGAGTATAAGCCTGTCTCACATTTTCAAGGAAGACTGTTCCGGAGTCCAGCTACATGAATCTGAAACGCTGCCTCTCCATGTTTAGTCCCCTCTGAAGGCAGGTCTCTTTTCCTTCTCACCTGTTTCATTTCAAATCAATAGCAAAGTTTACAATTACAACATTGCCACTCTTTAATTAGCATTAGGATGCTAACATAAGAATACAGGTGCTTCTGATTCCACAGAGCTTAGAATATTTTTCATGCATAGTTTGACATTGAAAATCATTTGTATTTTGATAAAAGTTGCATGCGTTTTGAAAGTGTTTTTCTATACATGGGCCTGTCTTATCTCTGCCCTCCTGTTTGTGTCCTCTGCTCCTCTCTGGTTTCCTTAATGGTTCCCAGGGTGCATTGTGGCTTGTGGGATTGGTCAGAGTGGAGCTCGTGCGGTCGTCCGGACACTTGAGAGCCTTTCCATCGGCGCGCACACCTCAGCCTCGGAAATTCACACTCCGCACAGCTCCACCGGCTGATTTTCCACATCCCAATCAGATATTCAAAAATGGAGTTTAAATGAATGGATGTGTGTTGTTGGTCTCATTATACCAGTCTTTCTCCAATGTTCCATAAGTTACTAAAAGTGACCCAGCCCCTACGTGTTCTTCCAAATGTGAAAAATATATGCTAATATCTTGTCTGCAGTTTTATATATGGGTCAACCCTTGTTCATAGTTCAAACTGAAACTAAAGTTGCCTTGAAATTATTTAATCACAGACTTTAGGAGTGAGCAGACGGAGTGTGATGTCATAGTGTGGAGCTGATTTGAACATAAGCAAGCTGGAGCCAATTTCCTTATATGGGCATTTTTTACAATAAATTGCTAAGACAAAATGAAGGCATCTGATTGGTCAATGAGTGAATGATGAAAATTTCTATTGCCCATACACATTTTCTGTATCTCAATATGAACCATTACTGTCCTCCTCCTCTCTCTCTTCCTCACTTTCTACTCGTCCTCCTCTGCCTTCTCTTCCTTCTCCAACCCTCTTCCCCCCTCACTCCTCACCTCCTTCTCTTGCTTCCTCTCCCTCATCCTCCTCCACACCCTCTTTCTCTCCATCCTCCACCCCTTTTTCCTCCTCCTTTCCCACATCTCCACCTCTCCCTCTCTTGTCTCCTCTCCCTCGCTTCCCTCCTCCTCCTCCTCCTCCTCCTCCTCCTTCCCCCTTCCTCCTCTGTCTGAGACCTGATCCTGTGGCTCTAGTTTCAGTCACAGCAGTGATTAAAGTCCAGAGCAGTGCAGTGTCATCAGACTCCACAGAGAGCACTCACTTTGGGCTTCGGATCTACTACTATCACCTATTTCAAATTTTTTACCCTATTTCACCAATTTGTATCTTTGTTATTGACTGGAACATGTGTCTATTTCAAGGCTCACTACTTTATAGAGATGATATAGCATTCTGAATGTGCTTTTCTCAGCTTTTGACAGTGTTATAAATGTTTCCCCTTGTCATTTACACTCTCAAAGTTGTTTTTAGAGCAATCCATGATCTTATAATGTTTGTATGTTATTGTTATTGTTATAATTTTGCATACTGAAATAGATTTTTTACAATACAATAACAATATATATACTGTATATGGATGCACTACCGTTGGAATTCAAATTTTTATGAATAATAATAATAATACATCAAACTTGTATAGCGCTTTCTTGGACACTCAAAGACGCTTCACATGGGGAGTAGAATACAATAATAAAAAGGGGTTTACGGAAAAGCTTGTTTGAAAAGATGGGTTTTGATTACAGATTTAAAGTTAGATAGTGAGTCAGAGTTTCTAATGAGCAGTGGGAGTGAGTTCCAGAGGGTTGGGGCGGCAATGGCAAAAGCTCTGTCCCCCAAGGTTCGGCGGTTAGTGCGGGTGATGGGGGTGAGGAGGTTGGAATTGGCTGAGCGAAGGTGGCGGGTGGGTTGGTGCTGCTGTAGGAGCTCAGTAAGGTAGGGCGGGGCCAGGTTATGGAGGGACTTGTAGATGAGGAGGAGGAGCTTGTAATGGATGCGGTATTGAACGGGGAGCCAGTGGAGGTGCTGGAGGACAGGGGTGATGTGTTCTCTGGACCGGGTGTGGGTGAGGAGGCGGGCTGCAGAGTTCTGGATGTATTGCAGTTTTTGGAGATGAGTGGTGGGAAGTCCGTAGAGGAGGCTGTTGCAGTAGTCGAGTCTGGAGGTGATGAATGCGTGGATGAGGATTCCGGCTGTTGGCTGGGTAAGGGAGGGGCGGAGGCGGGCATTGTTGCGGAGGTGGAAGAAGGAGGTTTTGGTGATGTGTTTGATGTGGGTTTGGTATGAGACGGTGGAGTCCAATATGATGCCAAGGTTGCGTACAGAACATGAGGGGGTGACAATGTGACCGTCAATGAGGAGGGTGAAGTTCTGGACAGAGGGCAGGAGAGTTTTGGGGCTGATGATGAGGAGTTCTGTTTTGTTACTGTTGAGTTTGAGAAGGTTATTGTCCATCCAGGTTTTAATGTCGAAGATGCAATTTTTGAAGGTGGAGCGAATAACCGGGGTGATGGATTTGGTGGAGATGTAGAGTTGCGTGTCGTCGGCATAACAGTGGAAATGGAGCCCATGATGGCGGATGATCTGACCGAGGGGAAGCATGTAGATGGTGAAGAGGAGAGGGCCGAGCACGGAACCTTGGGGGACACAATGGGTGACGGGGGAAGTGTGGGACTTGCAGTTGTTGACAGACACGAAGTGGAGACGATTGGAGAGGTAAGAGGTGAACCAGAGGAGTGCTGTGCCAGAAATGCCAATGGATTGTAGACGGTGGAGGAGGATGGAATGATCTATTGTGTCAAATGCAGCGGAGAGATCGAGGAGAAGGAGGATGGATAAGGAACCAGAGTCGGCAGCAAGGAGGAGGTCGTTAGTAACTTTGAGAAGTGCCGTTTCTGTGCTGTGGTGTGAACGGAATCCAGATTGAAATGTTTCGAAGAGATGGGAGGAGTGGAGATGTTGGTGGAGTTGGTTGATGACGGCGCGTTCCAGGATTTTTGACAGTAACGGGAGGTTGGAGATGGGTCGAAAGTTGTCGAAGTTGTCAGGGTTGAGGCCGGGTTTTTTCAGGAGGGGTGTGATGGAGGCTAGTTTGAGCGGGGAAGGGACAGAACCAGAGGTTAGGGAAGTGTTGATGATGCGGGTGATGAGAGGGATGAGAGTTAGTTGACAGGTTTTGAGGAAGGAAGATGGGATTGGGTCAAGCTGGCAGTTGGAAAATTTCATGGTTGAGAGAAGTTTGGTGTTGTCAGAGGGAGAGAGGGGGGAGAAGGAAGGAAGGCTATGGACTGTGAGTGCAGTGGGTTCAAGTTCGGAGTAGGGAGAAGAGGAGGAAGTGGAGGCAAGTGAACAGTGTATGGTATGGATTTTGGTATGGTAGAATGACAGGTAGTTATTGCATTTGTCTGTAGTGAAAGTGGAGGTTATATTGTCCTTGGGTTTTGTCAGATTTGCAAAAGTTGAGAATAGGGTGCGGGGGTTGGAAGAATTTGAGTGGATGAGTTGTGAATAGTAGTTGGACCGGGCAGTTTGTAGAGCAGGGTTGTATGTGGTTGTGGCTTGTTTGTAGGCTTGTGCATGAACGAGGAGACCAGTTTTTATATGGAGCCTTTCAAGTTGTCTCTTTTGTTTTTTGAGACTGTGGAGATCTGGGGTATACCAAGGGGCGGAGGTAGAGAAGGAGACTGAGGCAGTTTTCATGGGGGCAATTTGGTTGAGGCAGGAGGAGAGTGTGTGGTTATAGAAAGTGACTAGATCGGAGGCAGATGGATCTGAAGGGAGGGAAGAGCTGGATAGGGCATGGGATATGGAGGAGGAGAGAGATATGGGACAAATGGACTTAAGATTTCGGAAAGTAATTGTTTGTGTCTGTTTGGTGGTGGGAGAGGGGGTAATTATGTCCAGGGTGATGGCCAGATGATCAGAAATGGTCAGGTCGGTGAGTGACAGGTTGTGTATGGTGAAGGAGGGGGTGGAACAGACCAGATCCAGGATGTGTCCATGGTTGTGTGTGGGTGAAGTGACGTGCTGGGTGAGGTTGAGGCAGTTTAAAATGTCCAAAAAGTCAGATGTAAATTTAACTGTAGGGGAGTCAATATGAATGTTGAAGTCACCAAGGAGGAGAACGGATGGAGAAATGGAGGACAGCTGAGTTACGAAATCAGTAAAATCTGAGAGAAATGATGAACAGGTTTTGGGAGGGCGGTAGATGACTGCAGCAATGAGTGATTGGGAACCGGGGAGTCTGAAGGCCAAGTGTTCGAATGAAGATACAGCTGGGATGGAGATGGGGCGGAGGGAGATGTTGCTGCGGTGGATGACTGCAATGCCACCTCCTCTCCGGTCTAGACGCGGGTTATCGATGTAGGAATATCCAGGTGGGGTGGTCTGATTTAATGTGGTGTATTCCATGGGTTTGTGCCAGGTTTCAGTGAGACAAAGTATGTCCAGTTTATTGTCAATGATGAATTCACAGAGGAGCAGGCTTTTATTGCTGAGTGACCGTGTATTGAATAGTGCTGTTTTTAGAGGCTTTTGTTGTGAAGTTTGTGTGGCAGAAATTGGGACCGACAGGAGGTTTGATGTAGTCACGTGATGAGTGCTCGGATGACGTATGTGGATGTTGTTGGAACCAAGCCGGTGTGAGCTGCGCATGGATCTGCAGGCGGACCAGACAGAGGGAATATTGCTTTTGCCTGTGAAATTGAAGACAAGATTGCGACGGGACCCTCGGTGGATGTAGGGGCGACGGCGGACAAGACAGTGTTGTTGCAGAGTTGAGGTGATGTCCAGTGAAGGAGGTGCGCGGTGGTTGAGTCTGATGAGCTGTGAGGACGTGTAACGAAGCGTCATGGACGGAGCCGGTGTTGACAGGAGCCGCAGAGAGGCCAGCAGGAAAGCCACGAACAGTAGCCGCATAGCTGACTGGCTGCTCCGGGGTGCAGGCCGGCCAGTAACCGGGTTGTAATCCACTGATTGAGAAGAGCACAGCGTGGCTTGGCCGGAGGCAGCCCCGGGAGCAAGCGTGATGGTGGGCACAGCAGGGACACACCGTGACAGGCTGTGACAGGCGGCAGACGCGGGCAACCAGTCAAGGAAACAGTCCAGGCGCCGAGGCAACATCAGACACCACCGACACCAGGCAAAAATCGGTACGTTAAACCGCTTACTTTTAGCAAAAACAAGCTATTACGTCCGGAGTGAGAAGCGGCAGCAAAAACGCGCCCGCGTCCTCTCGCATCCGGGTAATAACATCATTTTTTTGGAGGACATTTAAGATGTTTTTAGCAAATACGCATTGATGGGACAGGAAATGCTGAACTCTCCTTTCTGGACAGTCTTCCACCCTGGACTCCCCGCCAGTGTTGTTTTTGGCAGCCGTTTTAGTTTTAGTCTTAGTCTTAGTCTTTTGGACGAAAATGCTTTTTTGTTTTAGTCACATTTTAGTCACTTGTAACTTTATAGTTTTAGTCAAGTTTTAGTTGACAAAAACACAAAAAGGTTTTAGTCAAGTTTTAGTCAATTTTAGTTAAAAAAAATAATTTTTACTCCAAAAAAGGCAGGAATAAAAACATTCTTACTTTGGCAATTGTTGCTTTATTTGAGAAATTGCTAAAATGCAATGAACAACGTGCCCAAAATATAAGCTATTGAACAAATACAGCTCTACAACTTGTGCTTCATTTTGTCTGCCAGTGCAACATCAAGATGCATATTATTTGTAAACACAAACAGCGTACAACCCTGTCCATCTTTAACTTGTGCAAACTGCAAAATCCCTGCATGTTCAACAAATAAAAGTGACACAGACATGCTATTGACGTTAGCACAACCAAGCTAATATTAGCCTGAAGTTAGCAGCAAATTCGCACCAGTAGATATATGTAAAACCTTAAGCATACAATGAAATATGTCACAAGCCAATTGTTAAGTAAAATTGAATGTATATGATATGTTAACAGCGTGACTTGTTAGTTACCTTCGAAAAAATATCCGCGTGATGAGCCTTCAGGTGCCGCTTGAGGTTGGTTGTATTCTTCCCACCTAGTTTATGGCCACATTTACCGTCGTCTCCCAATACAATGCATTCCGTTTTTCTTTCTGATGGATTATACTGAAAGTATGTCCATAAATCATCTCGTCGTTTCCGACCACCAAGCCCGTTTATTGGCGTCGCAGCCATGGTCCTTCGAAGATGCGTGGCGAGTGACTAGCCTCTCAGCACCGCCGCAGGTGTGTTGTTGTGGTGGAATCTGGTGCGCGCATGGGGCAGCCGGGTGGTGGGCGTACCCAAATCAAGGATAGCTCTTCTTCTTCTTCTTCTTTGCTGTTTTTTGGCGGTTGACAACCAAAAAAAAAGGAGTATTACCGCCACCTACTGTACTGGGGTGTGTGGACCATTGGAATCAAGCTAGAATCAGCAGTTCAAATACAATCTTTCAGTCCGGTGGTTTTAATGAAATGGATTAGACGTTTGCGGATGTTTACAGACGGTTGATCTAGCAATGTCTTTAAATTAAATGGGCGTGTTTCTTTTGCAACAGCTGTTGACATGCAGACTCGTTGCTCTCTATAATAATCACAGTGCAGGAGGACATGTTCTACAGTCTCTGGTTCATGTGTACAGTGCTGGCATGTTCCATCCACATGCTTTCCAATTCTCCAGAGTGAGTGGTTTAGGCCTGTGTGTCCGATCCTCAAACGAGTGATAATGGATTCCTCTTTACGGTTACCTGCCCACAGGCAGTTTGATCCAACTTTACTCTGGATTCCATAAAGATGTCTTCCTGTATCACTGATGTCCCAGCACTCTTGCCAAAGCTTCATGATTTTAGATTTCAGCAGGGCTTTTCCCTCAGCTTGACTTAGTGATACATTTATGTTAATAGTGTCAGATCTTAAGGCTTGTTTAGCGAGTATATCCGCCTGCTCATTCCCCTCTACTCCAACGTGAGCGGGAACCCAAACCAGTGACACATCAATATTCTTGTTATACACCTGTGCCAGGAGGTTATAAGCCTTATAAAGTAGATCCATCCTGCACGACTTTCCAGATTTGAGACTCAATAGCACTGCTTGGCTATCGGATGCAATAACAGTTTTACAAATATTGACACAAGAGTTCATCAAAATCCAGTTAAGTGAAAGTAAGATGGCGATCAGCTCAACCGTGTATACTGCTAGATGGTTTGAGACTCGTCTTCTAATATTGATTCCATACTCTGGGATGCACACTGCTGCACTGGTTCGTCCGCTATCTGGGTCCTTAGATCCATCAGTGTACAGAATCAGACTATCATAGTGACATTCAAGATATTCGTGCACAATACGCCATTCCGGTATAGTTCCTTTATCCTTAATACTTTGATGGAGAGATAGGTCAACCCTGGGAGGTTCAAAAACCCATGGAGGGACCGGAGAACATGGGACTGTGGGGCAATATTTAAAACCATTTAGGTCAAAGTGCTGTGCTTTGACTTCGCACACCCACCCAAAGCTAAAAAGCTCAGATTCTTGATGCTCCCAGCAATCTTTTAATGTCTCTTTCGTTGGATGAAGAGTGTCATGGCCTTGAAGGTTCAACCAGTATGCGAGCATGAGCTGGATCCTCCTCAGACGGAGAGGGGCTTCCCCCGCTTCAACCTGAAGGGCAGAGAGTGGCGAGGTCCTGAAAGCTCCACAACATGTACGCAGTGCTTGTGTTTGTTCTTGGTCTAGCTTCTTCAGGTGTGTCTCTACAGCAGACATGTAAACAAAGCAGCCATAATCCAAGGAGGACCTCATGAGTGCTTGGTAAATTCTTATTAGGGCCCCTCTTGCTGCTCCCCAATCTCGGCCTGCTAGGCATCGCAATATGTTATTTACTTTTTTACATTTATCTTTGACTGACTCAATATGTTTTTTCCATGTTAGTTTCTCATCCAACCACATTCCCAAAAACCTAACCATAGCGACTTGTTCCAGTTTTTGTCCATACAAATTTAGCTCAGCTTCTTTGTGTCTTTTTGAAAAACAAATTACTTGTGTCTTTGGAACAGACATTTTAATTGCCCAACTGCTAGCCCACATTTCTACTTCATTTATAGCATTTTGCATTTTCCTTTGTAGGTATTTCAAATTACGACCCCTGATCCAAAGGGCCCCATCATCCGCGTAGAGGGATCTCCCAACAGAACTTTCTACATTCTCAAAAATATCATTTATCATTATATCAAATAGAACAGGGCTACAAACACTTCCCTGTGGGGTTCCATTTTCAACTGTATAAGTATCAGAATAGGCACATCCGACTCTTACTTCTATTTTCCTTCCAAACAGGAAACTTAGCACCCAATTGTAAAGTCTTCCTCCAATGCCAAGTTTGGACAGTTTAATCAGCAGCCCCTCTTTCCAAAGCATATCGTATGCTTTTTCTATGTCGAAAAACACAGCCAGAACCACTTCTTTATTTGTTTGGGCTTTTCTTATTTCAGATTCTAGGCAGACAAGTGCATCCATGGTGCTTCGTCCCCTCCGAAAGCCACTTTGGAAAGGGGTGAACAGTTTCTTCTTTTCCAAATAATAATTCAGCCGTGTTGTAATCATCCTTTCCATAGTTTTCCCTAGTTGTGATGTTAATGCAATGGGTCTATAGCTAGATGGGTCTGATGCTTCCTTTCCAGGTTTCACGATTGGCACTATAACAGATTGTTTCCAAGCATCAGGGATCTTCCCAGTTTCCCAGACTAAGTTAAACAACCTCACTACAGCTTCCAAGGACTCCTCCTCCATTCTCGCCAACATGGAATAGCAGATTCCGTCTTTGCCAGGGGATGTCTGTTTAGAAGAAGCTATTGCACGTTTAAGTTCAAACATAGTGAAAGGCAGGTCAAGATCATCACAAAAGGAATTCTTCATGTTAGTGACACCTGGGTTCTCTTTTGCAGTTCTATCTCTACATTCCTTTATGTCTTCAGATAGATTACTCGAGCTGTGTACACTAACAAAAGTACTCGCAAGTAACTCTGCCTTGTCCTTATTGTTTACTGCAGTGACCTCTTCTTTTTGCAAAACTGGCATTGAATAAACTCTTTTAACTCCACTCATTTTCCTAATGACACCCCAGATATCAGCCAGCTTTGTTTCTCGCCCAATCTTGCTGCTGTAATTCCTCCAAAAGGTTCTTCGTGCGGTTTTTATAACCCTCCTAACTTGAGCTTGAGCTCTTTTATAATTAAGGAGGGACTCAAATGTAAGAGGTATTAGTATTAGATAGCAATATGGCCTACGTGCAGGACTGTACAAGGACTCTACAAGGACTCCATGTTATGACTATGATTTGACTGTCTCTTTGTGACACGTATGTCTTTCGATGTGTGACGTGACAATGACTATATAAACTGTGTACTGCCTTTATTCTGTCTGAGGGAAGGAAACAGAGTAAACTAGTGGAACTTGAGAGAAACTTAAATAAACTTCCAGAGTTTGGCACACCACGATCCGTCTCTGTCTGCTGAATCCTTACAGATTTGGTGGAGAATGCGCGGCTCGGTTTGTGCCATTCTCTGGATTGTTTTTGAGGGAGTTTTCTCTGTTTCTTTTTTTCGGCGTGTGGGAGCAACAGCACGTTATCTGGAAGGGGAGAAATCCCAGTGGACGCTGAAAGGGCTCGCTTTTGGATGGGCTTGCTCTTGCTCCCTCACTTTCTCTGTTTTGTGTTTAAATTGAAGATTCCGACGCGGAAAAGAGTTGGCAGACCTCTCGGACAGCCCGTGCGCACCTGTTTGACAAGAATAAGGTAAGCAGACACCTTTTTATATGTAAAGTCTGCATAATTGGATACTAGCTAAATTTGGGTGTGTTTTTGAGGTCTGTCGAACTCTCTAAATTGTGTTCAAATAAGTGTTGGCCATCAAAGTGAATAGGATCCATAAAGTGAAAAGTGTTGGCCATTAAAGTGAATAGGATCCATAAAGTGAAAAGTGTTGGCCATTAAAGTGAGGATCCATAAGTGAAAAGTGTTGGCCATTAAAGTGTAAAGGATCCATAAAGTGAAAAGTGTTGGCCATTAAAGTGAGGATCCATAAGTGAAAAGTGTTGGCCATTAAAGTGAGGATCCATAAGTGAAACCATGGTGTAAACAT